TCCCCCTATTGCTGTGAGGAGGGGCCCGCCCTCCAGCCCCTCAGCAAGTACGCCAGCGGAGACTTCCCTGGGGGCTCGTATTGCTGAGAGCCGACCTGGCGGACAGAAGCTCCGCAGCCCTAGGCCTGCACTGGGCTGAGCTGCGGTGGCGCGGGGGCTGAAGGGCCTCCGGCGCCACTGGCGCCGCCCTTGAAGCAGGCCGACTCATAGTGCTTGTTGAGATAGGACTTGAGCGCGAAGCTTTTCTTGCAGCGCTTGCACTGGAAGTGCTTGAAGGCCGAATGCGTCTGCATGTGTGCGCGCAGGTTGGAGCGGTCGGCGAAGGCCTTGCCGCAGTGCGCACAGCCAAAGGGTTTCTCACCTGTGTGAGAGCGCATGTGGCCCTGCAGCAGCCAGGGCCGAGAGAAGGCCTTCCCGCACACACCGCACTTGTGGCGCAGGTCGTGCGTGAGCAGGTGCATGGCCATGGCCGGCATGGACACGTACACCTTGCCGCACGTTGGGCAACGCCGCGCCAGCTGGCTGTCCAGGCTGCGGTGCGTCTGCTTGTGACGGCTCAGGTTCGACGACGTGGCGTATGTTTTGCCGCACTCGCCGCACGCATGCCGACCACCAGCGCCAGTGGCTCCCGGCCCCGCACGAGCTTCGGAGCTCGCCCCCGCTCGCGTGCCGCCCCGGCCCCCGGGCCCTGAGCCGGAGCCTCGTGCACTGGGCCCACCCCCGCCTCCTGCGTCGCTGTCGGGGGCAGCCGCTGAGGCCGTGGAGGGGGCAGCAGCAGCATTGGCATTGGTGGCCTTACGGCGCGAGCGCCCATCGGTGATGAAGAAGGCGTCAGCTGCGTAACCCTCGCTGACCGCAGCGTCGCCGTTGATATAGCCGCCCGCCGCAGTGGCCAGCTCTGGGCGCGGGGTGGGTGGCGGCGCCGAGCCTGAAGCCGCTGGACCCAGCTCTCCCCGCACAGCCGCAGCGTACATGGGCTCCGGGGACGGCCCTTTGAGCAACGTCGCCTCAGCGTCGCCATCGTAGACGGACGTGGGCCCCACATAGTCGCTGAGGTATCCTGCAGACCAAGGCAGACAAACAGAGGTAGGGGAACCGGGCAATGGGGAAGACACACCAGGTGGATTACGGGAGACAGCAGACACAGGCGGGAGAAACACCAGAGTCAGAGAGGGAAACGAACAGCAAGAAGGACAAAGGACAAGGGGCCAGGGACCACAGGGCCGAGAGGATGAAGACGGCAGGGCGGGGAAGAGAGGAGAGGAGAGGGTGAGACACCGCCGGGCTGGGCTCCGCCCCCGCCGCCAGAGCGCCCCGCCCTTGCTGGGGGAGGAGAGAGGCGCATCTTCGGGCGCGGCTGCCCCCCTTCCTCCCAAGCCTCAAGGTCAGGGGGGAGGGGCGGCGCTTCCCCTTACTTCCTCCTCTCCCCTCCACTCCCCTCCCCCTCGGGTTCTCCCCACTTCAGCAGCTTTCCTGATTATGCAACACACTGCAGACCCGCCATGCACAAAGCGGGACTGCCAGCTCAGGGACCCCCCGGCGGTCCCGCCTCTCGGGTGTCCCTGATGGCCCTTTTTCCAGCCCCCAGAATCCATTCCCAGCCTTGATGCTGGCTCTCTCTGGCTCCCTAGGTCTCCCAACAGTTCTAGAGACGTCTACCTCCCCGGTTCCTCTAGCTCTTATAAGCAGTTCCATCTCATTTCCCACTCTCTGACTGGACTTGACCCATGCCCTTGCAGCTGGAACCTATCTCCCTGCATCTACTTTCTTCTACCTGCACTCCCTTCCCTCATCCTGCACCCTTGGGTCCTACCCTGTTCTACATTGCCCTCTTCTCCCCACACTCGTAACTCCTTGCAGGGGCCTTCCTGACCCAACTCCAACTAGCTGCGGTGAGGAGACTGCCAGGACATCCACGGGGTGGGGGGATACCTTCACAGGAACTAGCAGGAGAATGGCATCATTCATGCCGGTAACTGCAGTTGTTCCCAAGGCACAAGATGGATCTCACAACCTCAAAGTCACAAACGCACACCCCTCATCATGCAGGCTCTGGCTCCTTCAGGATTATACCCAGCATCCCAACCACCATCAGCCCTGCAGTCCCCTCAAAGGGGGACACTGACCCTGGCTCTCACCACCTATTCATGCAAGGTTACCTATACAGCCACCCCAGACATACTCTTGGGTCACATGGCACAGAGCGGCCTCAGAGTCACATGGTCCCATGTAGTGGCACACAGGCAGGCACACACTCACTCACACAGGGTCACACACAAGCGCACATAGTCACATGGCCACACGCAGTCACATGGGCCCACACAGGCTCATGCTCCTGCAGGTCACATTTGTTCTTCCGCCCCATGCTGCTGGCACTTCGGGTCCCCTTGTCTGCATGCTAACAGTTGTCCTTGAACTTGGGCACACTTACACAAAGAGCCTTCCCTGCTTCCCGCAGCTTGGGCTTGCCTTTCCTACATCCTCCCCCCTGACCCTGACTGCAGGGAAGATACTGCTGCTGCCTCTGCTGGTACCTTGGCCTTGACAGGTGGGCCATCCGCTGGACCCCATGCCTACTCCCTGGAGCTCCCAGCATTATCCAGCTAGCACTAGCAGGGAGCTTGGAGGAGCAACCAAGGAAGAGAAGAGGGTAGTGAGGCGGGTCCGGGTTTCTGGGTGTGAGTCTGCATGTATTGGTATGGCTGAGTCCTTGTAATGTCAGCAGGTGTCCATGTGCTGTGTGCTGTTTGTTTCTGCATGTGTCAGTGTGTGGGTCAGTGTGTGCCTTCAATGCTTCTTGTTCCTGACACCTCTTCCCCATCTTCTCTCCTGCATCCACACTCTCTGCCCAGCCTTGGCTGAGATCTGGCCTGGCTCTTCGATCCTCTTTCCCCACCCCCTCCACAGTCCCAGCTTCAGTCTCAGCCTCCTGCCCGCTCTGGTTCCTTCCTCTATTTCCCCGACCCTCCCTTTCCACACCCACAGTCTGGCCACCCATCCATTCCAGCAAAGCCCTGGGCCCCTCACCCCAGCCTCAGCCCAGCTCATACCTTTATCGTGCAGTCGCACTCCGAGGTCGCTTCGGGCGCGCCCGTAGGAGCTGTCGAGGTCTGCTGAAGAGAACGTGTCAAGTTTGACCTTCTTGACCAGGAAGGACCTGGGCATGATTCCTGCGGGGCTCCGGCGCTGCGGGCCTGTGGAGCCGGGGCTCGAGGGGGCTGCAGCTGCAGCGGAGCCCGGTCACCATCCGAGGAGCAGCGGAGTCAGCACCGTCCCCACTCTGGCCTGTGAATGCTGCCCTTCGAGTGCGGTTCTCTCCTCCTCCTTCCTGCCCTGCGTTTCCTCGGCCCCTCCGGACCCCCCTCTTCTTCGTCTTCTCCTTCCTTCCTTCCTTTCTCCTCTCCTCTTCCTTCCTTCCTTCCTTCCCTCCTCTGGTCCCGGCTTCCCAGCCCGCAGTGCCGCCCCTGGACAGGCGGGGGAGGAGGCTGGGGGGGGGCGGAGAGGGGGGGAGCGGCTCCGTCCCGGGCCCGGAGGCTGCGAATGGGTGCAGGGCTGGCCCGGCCCCGCGGCCCCCTTCCCCTCCCCCCCCGCCGCCGCGGCGGAGCCTCAGTCAGCGGCCCCCCATGCCCCCGGGGGTCGGCGGCACCAGGCCGGGAGAACGCGGTGGCGGCGGCGGCGGCAGCAGGAGCGCCGGCAGCTTCAGCACCTCGGCCAGCGCCAGCCAGGACAGCACCACGGCCAGCGCCCGGGTGCGCTCAGCCGGCGCGGGCGGAGAGGGGCGGGCCCGGGGCGCGGGGGGGGGCTCGGCCGCCGGGCGGGGGTCCTCGGCGGGGGTCTCTAGGAGGCTTGCTTTATTGTTCTGCAGCCCGAGCGAGCGGCGGCTGCGGCGGCGGCGGCGGCGGCGGGCGGGGGGCGGGGGTCCTGGGGGGGAGGGGTGCGCAGGGAGGGCGGGCCGAGGGAGGGAGGGCCCGGGCTCCGGGGGCGGGGCTCGGAGCTCGGACAGCTCGCGGGCAGGCCTCCTGAGCCCGAAGCCGCCTCTGCCGGTGGCCGAGCCCAGCCTCTGGCTTTTAAAGCCAGGAGCTGGGGGAGGGGAAGAGGCCAACGGAAATGGCTGCGCTGGGTCGGGCTCCGCCAGGGTCTCCTGGGAAGGGTCCTGGGGATGCCTCGTCTAGGCGTGCGGAGAGTTCCCCGCGCAGCTGGGGGAACGGCGGCCCAGCGATCCGCGGCACTATCGGCCATGGGCGAGAGTGGGAATGCATCCCGAACTCGGGGTCACTTAGGGGAACGCCGGTGCACCCCAGGCCGGCCCAGGATGCCTTGCTTGCGGCCTTGAGGAGAGGGATGTGCGGGGGAAGGGAGGCGGCGAAAGCGCAGTGTGGAAGCGCGGCGTGCGCCCAGTGCCGCAGTGTCTCCTGCCACTCGGTCACCCGGGCTGACCCCATGCCCGCTGAAGGGGCCTCCCCGCCCCCACCTCACTCCTGTGAGGCAGACGTCGAGCTTTGCGGCGTCTCAACGAGTGGGGTGTGCATAGTGAGAGGGGCTGCCATGCCCCGGCTTTAAATTTGTCTTTATTGGTGGTTTCCGCCCTTCCGCACGGCTGCAGCTTCCCCTCCCCCCCCCACGGCCCCGCAAACAGGCGGATAACCCTTCCCGCGGCCGCCCGCCCGGAGTTTGCAGTCCACATGACGTCAGGCCCAATGGCCAATGGCGGGGCGCGGGGCTCGCGGCCTCACAATGGCTGCACGCGGGTACATATGTCCCCAATTAGGGCCCGGCGTCGCCATTGTCCCCTCTCGCGCTCCTGCCCGGCACTGGGGTCTTCCTGCGCCGAACGCGCTTCACACAGCCTGCTTTAGTTGGAAACCAAGGTCGCGGGGCGGCTCCTGGGAGCTGCCTGGGGGAGACGCGCCGGCCGCCGCGCGCAGTGACCTTGTGCGGGGCGGCGGGGGCGCGCACGGGAGCGCGCCGAAAGTGCTGAGCTCAGCGCCCGCCCCCTGCGCAGGCGACCCGCCGCTTCCCGCATGCGCTGCCTGACGCCGGGTTGGAGTGCACGGGAACGACCGAACCTGCGCAGGACGCGTGGAGACCTCCCGCCGGCTCTTTGCCAGAGGCCTGGCTCCGCGCTGGCCCGACATTCATCTTGCATGGCAGGCGTCCCCAAGAGGCGGGGACGGGCGAGACCGCCCCCTTATCGCTGAGCAGCAGCCGGCGAGGCCCGCGGCGGGGTGAGGGTCCCTTTGGCCGTGCTGCTCTATCAGGCTCACTCCCAGGGGTTCCCGGCCGAGGCGCAGCAGGAGGCGTGGGGCCAATTAGCATTTTGATTGCGGGACGGGGGGGGGGCCATCTGGAAGGAGGCCTAATTACCAGGCGGACCCTCGGGGCGCTGCTGGGCTGTGCCAGGCGGATCCTCTCACCCGGAGCTCTTTGCATCCTCCTGGACCCTGTGTCCACCCCCAACTCTCTGTCCTTCCGACTCCCTCCCTGTCCCCATCCCACTGACCCAGTCACCCCGTCGTTCTGTCCCGGTACTGTGTCCCTTCAGTCACCGCATTCTTCCCTTCCTCTACCTCACCTTCGCCCTTCCCTCATCTCTCGGTGCCATTGCTGTGGCACTACGCGCTCACCCTACTGTCTCCATCCGACATCTCGGTACCCACATCCTCTTTTTCTGTCCACATCCCTGACTCTTTGTCCATCTCCTGGCCCCTTTGGTCCCCCTCCTGATGAACGACACGGCAGAGCGTGAACGCATGTGTCCTGCGACCAGGTGTTCCCGAGGGTACCATTCTGGAGGGCCTTGATCGCACTCGGGTGGATCCCTGAGCCCCCACCCCGCCCCCGCGCCCGGGGCGCCCAGCGGGGAGAGGCAGCTGGGCCCAGGCCTCGGCCATCAGTCCTCCCAGACCTGGGTACTGAGAGCACATGCTGCCCCGCAGTAATTACTTGGGTCTTTTTGCCTCTCCTCCCTGCAAAAATCCCTTTCCCATCGTCACCTAGTCCCTCTGCATCTGGAGATTGTGGTGGTGGCACAGACCCGAGGTGCAACCAGGAGAGGTTAGAGGACAGCAGATGACACTACTTTTTAGTCTCCCCAACATAAGGATCCCCTGAGTCTCTTCCACTGGAGCTGGGGTCTTGGGAGGCTTGGTTGCCAAAGAGGAGCTAGTCAGGGACCCCAGCTGGATGGATGTGCCAGGCTCTGCCAGCACTTAGTCTCCTAGTCAGTCCCTGCAGGTCTTCCTATGGGGACCTCTTCCTGCTGTCCTGGCTATCTTGCAGCACTGCCTAGCTTCTTATCTCTTCCTGCTTCAGTGTTGCAGCATTGATTCTATGACCCTCTGTCTCTCCTGTACAGGCACACCCAGCCCCACCCAGCCCCCATAGCAGAAAGTCCAGGCTTAAGAGAGGGGTTCCACTGCTTGTTCTCAGCACCCCCATCACCAGCAAGACAAGAGACCCTGGTGTGCCCACTCTCAGATCTGTGGTCCCATTCCTCTCTGCCCCAGCTGGGCTCCATCTAGGAATCACTGAACAACCTAGCCTGGAGTGTTCACCCATCCTGCTGGGCAGAGAGGAAGTGATAGGCAGAGAATGGAAAATTGTGTTGAAATGAGGACACAGCTTCTGGGGGGGAGCATATAGTTGGGACAGAGGAGAAGGTCATTAGCAGGAAGAAGAGGTCAAGGCTGTTAGGGGCAGGAGATGCAGAATCATCCATAAGAATACCAACAACAGCAGGAACTTCACCACAGCCACCACACCACGGGGACATGCCAATACCAAGGCTGGTGCTGGGTGGTTGCTGCAGCAATGACTCCTGTCCCAGCTACAACTCTTGGGGAAGTGAAAGGACAAAGCCTGCAATCCCAGTGAAGAATAAGGAAGCTGATGCTTCACTTCCAGGCCAGGGGCCTAGGTGGGGAGAGAGCAGCCCCCAGAGAGGGTGGCCAGCTTAACAGCAGCATGAAGGGAAGGAGAGGATGGAGGGCTCTCCAGTGGGAGCCCGAGTCTTAGGAGGCCGTTTCAGGACTAGGGCTCTGCTTTAAAAAGTGTGAGGGGTGGAATGGACTTGGTCCTAGTGGGGCATGAGCTTTGGAGACCACAGTCACAGAAGAAGAGAGTTCAGGTCTCAACATAATCAGGATGTGTCCATGAAAAAGACCAGCAAGGACTCTGTTGTGGCTCAGTGTTAGAGCAATTGCCTAACACATGGGAGGCACTGGGTTGGATTCTCATCACTGCACATAAATTAACAAAACAAAGGTATTATCTGTCTGCAACTTAAAGAAAAAACAAAGAACAAATACCAAAGTAGTGGAAAACATCTGCACTAAATTTATCAGGCTGATATTCTGGTGATTTAAAAAAAAAAAAAAAAACTGGCATAAATGAACATTTTTTTAAATGAGGTGACTTTATTTTCATAGCTTTATTTTATTCATTTACTTTTTTTTATAATTTTAATATTTATTTTTTAGTTTTTTTGGCGGACACAACATCTTTGGTTTTATGTGGTGCTGGCGCTACCACTTGAGCCACATCCCCAGCCCTTCATTTACCTTTTATGTGGTGCTGAGGATGGAACCCAGGGCCTCCCATGTGCTAGGCAAGTGCTCTACCCTGAGCACAATCCCAGCCCACAAATGAACTTTAAAAAAATTTTTATTTAATATGCTATTATTTTTATTTATCTTTACGTGGTGCTGAGACTGGAACCCAGGGCCTCACCTGCACAGGCGAACGTTCTACCACTGAGCCACCACCTCAGCCCATAAATGAACATTTTAAAGAACAAAGATGCCAGGATCCCGGGCTGGGGCTGTAGATCAGTGGTAGAGCACTTGCCTCACAGGTGTGAGACCCTGGATTGGATCCTCAACAACATATAAAAATAAAATAATGGGCTGGGGTTGTGGCTCAGTGGCAGAGCGCTCACCTAGCATGTTCGAGGCACTGAGTTCAATTCTCAGCACCACACACAAATAAAAAATAAAGATCAAGGGACTGGGGTTGTGGCTCAAGAGGTAGCGTGCCTGCCTGGCATGCCTGAGGCACTGGGTTCGATCCTCAACACCACATAAAAATAAAATAAAAATTTAAAAATAAAGATGTTTTTAAAATTAAAGATCCATTGACAACTTAAAAAGAAAGAAAGGTATTGTGTCCATCACAACTAAAAAAATAAAAAGATGACAGGATCCGAAAGAAGTTAACAGGTGATTGGTACACAAGGAGTAAAAGACATTATTTAGGTCCAAAGATTAAGTGACAAAATGCAAATTTCAGGGGTTATGGCTTTACTGTAGAAACTGTCAAATGTGAACCAAATCATCTGGTGTGGTACGTAATGCCTGTCATGCCAGCAACTCAGGAGACTGAGGGCAGAGGATCACAGGTTTGAGTCCAGACAAGACAATTTATTGAGACCCTGTCTCAAAATTTAAAAAGCAGGGTTTGGGTTTGGGGATGTAATTCAGTAGAAAAGTGCCCCTGGGTTCAATCCCTGGTACCCTGCCTAAAAACACATGAAAGTGGAGATATCCAGATAATGAGGGTCTCCATACCATTTGCCAAAGACCAGCTCCAACAGCCCAATTCCCTCCACTTCTTGTCATTTAAAGGAAATCCCAGAAATCATATTGTTACCGCTGTTGACCAGTGACGAGTCCTTGCTTCCCCAAAGTTGAAGAATAACACCAGAGAAGCACGCCAGGCAAGGTCAGAGTGGAAAATTAGAAGTTCATTAAAGGACAGCAGAAAAGACTTCTCCCAGAGGAAGAAGGAGACCCAAGAGGTGGAATCTGTGGAAGTGCGGTTGTCTCTCCATTTTATAGTGATGGAATGTAGGTGGGAAGGCCCCAAGGGTTGGGACACAGGTGGGCCAACGAAGTAATCTGGGCACTTCCGAGTCAGCATCTTCAAGTTTGCTGTTCATTAACATTTCTTTGGGATGGACTTTGGCCTTGGGCTTTTTCCTGGACTTCATTAACATTCCAGGAGAGTTGCTCAACTTTTCCAGGAATTCATTCTCAACATGGCCTCCATTTAGATTTCACTCGATATTAGACCCCATTTACCTAACTACACTGACTACCTGATTTTAAATCTGGCTTCAATATCACAAAATGCCATTTTTTTTCCTCTGAATAAAGACACGGGAAACACGGAGACCTGGAAAGTCGGTATGTGGGTGGGCAGCTCAGGAGATGTGATTAGACCCTGTTCCCTTCTTGCTTCTGGCAGGGTGACCCTTCAATATCCTATATTTGAGGGGCTGGGGATGTGGCTCAAGCGGTAGCGTGCTCACCTGGCATGCGTGGGGCACTGGGTTGGATCCTCAGCACCACACAAAAATTAAAAAATAAAGATGTTGTGTCCACCGAAAACTGAAAAATAAATATTATATATAATATATCCTATATTTGAGGCTCTGACATAATGGAGGGGCCTGTTGCCAGCACCCAGAAGTTCACTGCCTGACCTGCTCAGACCCTTGGCCTTGGGCAAGGATCACTTAATTGCTAAAGATATGATTTTTTACTATAAAAGACTTTAAATGTAGGTATTCCATCAGCTTTAACATACGACATGCTCTTGACCCTATAGAGACATTAGGGCATTTCTGTTGCCCTACAGAATATTTCTTTTCTTTTTTTTTTTTTTAATATTTATTTTTTAGTTTTCGGCGGACACAACATCTTTGTTTGTATGTGGTGCTGAGGATCGAACCCGGGCCGCACGCATGCCAGGCGAGCACGCTACCGCTTGAGCCACATCCCGAGCCCCAGAATATTTCTTGGAGCATTTATTTATTTAGGTACTGGGGATTGGACCCATCCTCAGTCCTTCTTATTTTTTATTTAGAGACGGGGTCCGGCTAAGTTGCCCTGGCTGGCCTGAACTTACCATCCTCCTGCCCCAGCTCCTGAGTCCCTGGAATTACAAGTGTGGGCTGGGCCAGTTTTAAAGGAGACATCAAGGAGAGACTGGAGGAGAGTGTGAGAATGGGGAAGGAAGATGGTGGAGGATAGGGAGACTGCCTCCACAGGACTGTAGCCCTTGCCTCCACCTCCATGGGGAGGACTGACAGTGGACAGCAGGCCCTTACCTACCTGCACTCCACGGAGGCATGCATGGAAGCCTGGCCACATCACCCCAGATTCCTAATCCAGGGTGGCCTTCCCTCCCTCACCCCCACCTCCTTGGAGGTTATACACTTTCAGCATTTATTCAGCCCCATACTTGGGTCCCCCAGTTCCACCCCAAGAGACATCCACACTGACCACACACTCATGGCCACCACCTCTGGCCTCCCCTTCCACTTCCTCACTGCCCAAGGAAACCTTGACCCTGGGGACTACACCTCACCAGGGAGCTGCCCACTCAATGCTAGGTGGCCTCTTTCCTATCCTGCATTGCTGCTTTCCTTTGTAGTGGATGCCTGACCCATGTCACCCTCTAAGGAAAGACTTGGTCCCTGCTGGGAGTGAAGGGTGTAGACAAGCTGCAGCTGGATGCCCAGGAGCTGCCTCAGCTGCTGAACGCTGCAGCCCACTGCTACAGCCTTCTAGATTCGACCTGTATCCAGCAGCCTCTCCAGTGGACCTGAAAGGCCTAGCCATTTTGCACAGGAGAGTTTGAACAGATCATTCTGACTCGCGAGTGCCTGTAGGTGGCGGGACTAGCCTGTTTCCTCTCTTCCCTCCACTGGGTTATCCCAGTGGCACATCCTTCACTGAACCTGTCTCAGACACTCCTTCCCTGGGACCCACCACAGGGGCTGGTTTTAGGAAAAGGCTGGCAGTGGGGTTGAAGGCAGGACTGCTCCCCAGTCCCATTGTTGCCAGAGGTGAAGCGTGGAGAGTGCCGGTACAAGACAAGGCCTTAGTCCGTTCAGCCTGCCAGAACAAAGTACCATGAACTGAGTGTCTTGTATTTTTTTTTAATCACAGTCTGGAGGCTGAGAAGTTCAAGATCAAGGCACCTGCACATTCAATGACTGGTAAGGGCCTGCTTTCTCATAGATGGTCTCTTCTCACTATGTCCTTCCATGGTGGAAGGGACCAGGAGCTCTCTGGGGTCTCTTCTATAAAGAGAGTAATCCCGTGTGTGTGTGTGTGTGTGTGTGTGTGTGTGTGTGTGGTGCACACATGTATGCATGATACTGGGGATTGAATTCAGGGATACTTTGCTTCTGAACTATTTTGCTAGTCCTTTTTTGTGGGAGACCAACCTTGCATGAGACTGAGTCACACTCCCTGGCTGGGTGCTGAGGCGCTCAGTCACAGAAATGTGGAAGAGCTTTCCCCACCCTTCTTGGGTTCCAGGGACAGTGCCTCGTGCATGGGTGTGTCTTGCTACAGCCCCATGGGTGAAGCTATGCTCACCGTCCCTTTGTAATCTAACCCCTTGCCCTGTTTAGGGTAGAATCTTCCATGGAAGTGCCTTGTGTGTGTGTCCTTCTCTTACTGTGCCCTTGGGTGTGGCCTACCCAGGTGTCACTCAACCTGCTTGGACTTAATGAAGATAGACTCAGCCCCCTGAAACCTGACCCCTTGCCTCATTTGAATAGCTTCTCAATAAAAGGGGTCAGCACGTGCTCTTGTTCTCTCTCTTCCTGTGGACCCTTAGGGTCAGAGGAGCTGTCACAGCGACCCCGAAGAAAAAGGTATTTGTGTCTCTTGTGTGGTTATTTTGCGAAGAAGCCCAGTCAGCCCAGTTTACCTGGCGTGACCACGGAAACAGAAAACCAGCACTTTTTATCTTTTTTTGGTGGTGGTGCTGGGGTTTGAATTCAGGACGTCATGCATGCTAGGGAAGCACTCTACCACTGAGCTACATCCCCAGCTCTAGTCCTTTTTATCTTGAGATAGGGTCTCACTAAATTGCTCAGGCTAGCCTCAAACATTCAATCCTCCTGCCTCAGCCTCCCAGTTTGCTGGGATCACAGGCATGCACATCGTGCCTTACTCTAACATAGATTCCCAAAGGCTCCATCTCCTGATCCCATCACAGTGTTGGTTGTCTCAGTGCATGAATTTCAGGGGACACAGACTCCCAGGTCTGATCAATGTGCCCTTCCCCATAAGTGGCCTGGGGTCACATAGGAGGAAGGGGATGCATAAGTTGGTGCTCTGTGGGTTTTTGAAAGTATGGGAGAAACACACTAGGGACAGTAGGGTGGCTGGGTTCCATCCTCAACACCTGCCACTCAAGAGCCAGGGATGGAGCTCAGTGACACAGCATTTGCCTAGTATGCATGATCCCCTGGATCAAAAAAGAAAAAATCAAAATATGGAAAAAAAATGTTTCCTATCTAGGACTTAACAGGTTGGAAGTAAAATAGTTTTCGTTCCCAGTCTATCCAGCTTGCAAATTTTTCAGAGTAAGAAATAGCCTCTGGACAATGATCAAATCCATGGCATCACCAGCAAATTGTATTTTAGGTGTTAAGATTAAATCTAGGTGCTGGGGACGTGGCTCAAGCGGTAGCGCGCTCGCCTGGCATGCATGCCGCCCGGGTTCGATCCTCAGCACCACATACAAACAAAGATGTTGTGTCCGCCGAAAACTAAAAAAATAAATATTAAAAAAAAAAAAGAGGGGCTGGGGATGTGGCTCAAGCGGTAGCGCGCTCGCCTGGCATGTGTGTGGCCTGGGTTTGATCCTCAGCACCACATACAAATAAAGATGTTGTGTCCGCCGAAAAAACTAAAAAATAAATATTAAAAAATTCTCAAAAAATATATTAAAAAAAGATTAAATCTAGGGTGTTACTTTAAAACTTCCTGATCAGACCACTCACATGTGAGGCAGTGCTCACAGACCACATCAGCTAATCTGAGGGCTTCTGGGAGTCTCAGGGTCACTGTCCACCATACCTTGATATACACCTAAAGATTAACCAGTTATCTGATTCATCAAAATCCTGCTTTTTTTTTTTTTTATTTACACCAGGGATTGAACCCAGGGACTCTTTACCGCCGAACCATGTCTCCAGCCCTTTTTATTTTTTGAGACAGGATCTCTCTGAGTTACTTGGGTCACACTAAGTTGGTGAGTCTGGTTCTGAACTTTGGATCCTCCCACCTCAACCTCCCAAGTCTCTGGGATTACATGCATATGCCACCACACACAAGTTCTAAAAGGAATCACAGTATCTTAGACTAACCAGGACAGAGATCATTCAAACAATGATGCAGGTGCAGTGGCACACACCTGTAGTCCCAGCAGCTTGGGAGGCTGCGATTGGAGGATCACTAGTTCGAAGTCAGCCTCAGCAATGGTGAGGCACCAAGCAACTCAGTGAGACTTTGTCTATAAGTAAAACACAGTACAGGGCTGGGGATGTGGCTCAGTAATTGAGTACCCCTGAGTTCAATCCCTGGTATGCCCCCCCAAAAATGGGAGGTAAGCTTCAACCTTTCTGTAGGTAGAAAGCGGGTCAAGAATACGGACCTTGGACTGGGGCTGTAGCTCAGCCGCAGAGGGCTTGCCTAGCATGTATGAGGCACTGGGTTTGATCCTCAACACCACATCCAAAACTAAACAAATAAAATAAAGACATGCTGTCCGTGTACAATTACCAAAATAATAATAATAATAAATCTGGACTTATAGTGTGTGGAATTCTCTGGTGTTTCCACCATTTTGCTCTTCCTGTTCCAGGAGTCAGCTCCAGGTAGCACACTGCTCTTAGTCATCATGTCTCTTGTGATCTGTGACAGTTTCTCGATCTTCCCTTATTTTTCGTGGCCTTGGCAGTTTTGAGGAGTGATGCTCAACCTTGTGGAATGAAGGGGTGTTTTGCCGAACGTCCCTGTTCTCTAGGGGTAATGCTAAGGGTTTGGGGAGGAGACCACAGTGTGGAATGCTCTCTCACTGCACCACAGAAGAGGCCATAGGACATCAGTGGAGTGGGCTCTCAGTGCACCCCTGGCCAAGGTGGCCCCTGCTGGGTTTGTTCACTGGGCAGCAGCATCTTTCCTCTTCTGTACTTGCCTGGTTAGAGGCCAGCTACACCATCCAGTCCCCACTGTCCCCACAGAAGTGTGCATGGAAGACACCCCATCCATGCAGACTGTGTAGGCAAGAGCCTTGGCTGTTGGATCACAGGTCTCTGCACCTGAAGATCCTGCAGAGACCTGCGGCCCACTCCTGTGGACTTGCTGACCTGAGGCATCCACAGTCAGCTTCCTGCTGGGGCTTGTTTTCTGGTCCCACACTCTGGAAGCCAGCGCAGGAGGGTCTGCTATATGACACCATTTCGGAAGCGGCCCTGGAGAGTGGGACTTGTGTTGGATTTCATGGACCCAATGAGCTTCCAGCTGGCTTAGCCACGAGGGGGATCCCAGCCCCCAGGGGAAGTAGAACCACCCAGCTGAGCCATGCCAGCACAAGAGGTTAGGGCAGAGGACCACCCGTGCTGGTTCAAGACCCTGTGTTCAGAGTGCTTGTTGATGTGGTAAGGGAGCTGGTACCAGCCCTTTGCTCCCCCAGATTGGCTTCCATGGGCCAGAATCATAGTCACTCTCACATTGTCCTGGCTAAGCAAGCACCAGCATCTAAACAGCAGAACTCTATTGGAGAAAACGTATGACCCTACTCACAGCCCCTCATGTGATGAAGCACATCATATTGGGCATGCCATGCTGTCAGGCCATCCTGCTACACTCTCCTTGACCAGCTGCCCCCCCATTCCTCGAGAAAACTGCTTCACATCTTCTTCCCCCTCCCCACTTAAATTCTTCTAATGCATTAGGTGTGGTGGCACACACCTGTAATTTCAGTTACTCAGGATGCCGAGGCAGGAGGATCACAAGTTCAAGGTCAACCAGAGCAATGTAGCAATATAAAATAGCTGGGGGTGTAAGTCAATGGTACAGCACCCCTTGGTTCAATGCCCAGTACTACAAAAAAATAAAAGTTTTAAAAAGTACTGAGGGTGTAGCTCCCTGGTGCAGCACTTGCCTAGAAGGCACAAAGCCCTGGGTTCCATCCCGCACCAGGAAGAAAAACAATGCCTTCTAAGACCCTCTACCTTCAAAGCTATGCTCGTCTTACTAGAAAACCCCCCAATGATGACAATTTAAACTGTGGAAAGCTCTCCCTTTCACAGAGTGTCCAGTGTGAGCCCTCCAGGGTCAGCTCTATGGGCAGCCCCAGTTGTCCAGCTCCACAGATCCATCTTGTTGTTCTGCCATCCTCAGCAACATTCCACATTGTGGCTCAGCTGGCTGCTTGGGCTGCAGTCATCAGGGGGTTCCAGCTCACAAAAAGAAGCAATGGTGAGGACTGGGAAACCTTTCCTTTTAAGGACACTTTTGGAAATCACATACATTTATTGTACTGCATGGGCCAGGAATGACTTTTACAAACACCTGTATGGATCTGCGGCAGAGACTGGAAAATACAGTCTGTTCTGTGTGACCATATGACTAACTAAACACAGAGGGTGAGTACTTGACTAACTTGTGTAAGGCCCTGAGGTTGATCCCCATCACCACAAAATAAACAGTACCTCCTAGCTCAGAACTCCAATTCCCAGCCCAGCCTCCCATGGCCACTAGCCCAGGTGACACACCCTGCTGTCCCAGGGAATTGCTTGGCTTCTCAGCCCATATCCAGCCAGAAAACTCTGTGGGCTTTGCTTTTCAGCAGAATCTCTGACCTGCCTGGTCCCTTCTTTCTAATCATAATTCCTACAGTCTCTGGATCTTCCTGATCACTCTTTTCCTGGATCATAGGGCCTCTCTGCTCACAATCCCCAGTGATTTCCCACTGCAAGGACTAGCTGTGGGGGTCTCTCAACCCCAGGTTCCTTCCCCTGGCCCTCTCCCTCTTTATTTTGGAGTGCTGAGGACTGAACCCAGGGTTACCTAGGTACTAAAAATGTGCTCTACCATGGAACCACACGTCTCCACATTGTCTGGAACCCTACAAATTAAGTAGCTGGTCCTGGGTTCCAGGGACACAATGCCCAAGCCCTGAGTCAAAAACAAGCTGAACAGAGTTGGGCCCAGTGGCACTGCCTGTAATCCCAGCAGCTCAGGAGGATAGGAGGATCATGAGTTCAAAGCCAGACTCGGCAAAAGCGAGGCGCTAAGCAATTCAGCCAGACCCTGTCTCTAAATAAAATAACAAATAGGGCTGAGGATGTGGCCCAGTGGTCAAGTGCCCCTGAGTTCAATCCCTAGTACCCCCCCGCCCCCAAAAAAAAAAAAAAAAAAAAAGCAGAACAGAGAGCACATGCTCATGAAAAGCACCACTCCTCCTGGATGTATGAGCCTACCGCCTTCTCTGCTCCCAAGCAGTCCCAGCACCCAGGAGGCATCAGATGCCTGAAGCAGAAGCTGGGGTGCTCTGCTGGGCAAGGGGGTTCCAGCATGCCCAGAGAGGTCTTTCACCCTAGGGGAGGACTCTGGAGGCTATTCCCTAGGAAGTGTGCAACAATATGTCTGCACTGCAGTTCAGGGTGCACCCATACCTGAGGGCTTGTCCTCCCTGGCTCTGCCACGTCCATAGCACCTAGCCAGACTGGACCAGTCAGATTCTGGCTCCTGGATCCCACTGTAGCCAGGCAGGACCAGTTAAGTGCTGCTGGCCAAGAGGGGCGACAGTCCTAAGCCTGTCCAGTGATCATCAGCCTCCTTGAGTCTCAGCTACACGTAC